TCCAAGAACAGGATAAGCAAAGATGAGATGTGGGCCAAGGCCGTAAGTATTGAGCACCTAGTGAGGATCGAATTCACTACTCAACAGTAATTGATATGGCGAAAAAAACTTGTTGGTTTATGGCCAAATCAGGTTGAAACACTGGTTCCCGTACGATCAACGAAGATAAGCAACGTCGAGCCTTGTCTGTACCTAGATGGGTGACGACCGCTTGGGAATACTAATTACTGAATACTTAAATGTGGGGGTGGTGTAATAGCCTTACGGTCACATTACATTGAAACGCCGGTTCCCGTACAATCAGTGAAGTTAAGCAACGTCGAGCCTTGGCTGTACCTAGATGGGTGACGACCGCTTGGGAATACTAATTACTGAATACTTAAATGTGGGGGTGGGTTTACGGTGTTACATTGAAACGCCGGTTCCCGTACAATCAGTGAAGTTAAGCAACGTCGAGCCTTGGCTGTACCTAGATTGGTGACGACCGCTTGGGAATACTAATTACTGAATACTTAAATGTGGGGGTGGTGTAATAGCCTTACGGTCACATTACATTGAAACGCCGGTTCCCGTACAATCAGTGAAGTTAAGGTCGAGCCTTGGCTGTACCTAGATGGGTGACAACCGCTTGGGAATACTAATTACTGAATAATTAAATGTGGGGGTGGTGTAATAGGCTTACGGTCACATTACATTGAAACACCGGTTCCCGTACAATCAGTGAAGTTAAGCAACGTCGAGCCTTGGCTGTACCTAGATGGGTGACGACCGCTTGGGAATACTAATTACTGAATACTTAAATGTGGGGGTGGTGTAATAGCCTTACGGTCACATTACATTGAAACACCGGTTCCAGTACAACCAGTGAAGTTAAGCAACGTCGAGCCTTGTCTGTACCTAGATGGGTGACGACCGCTTGGGAATACTAATTACTGAATAATTAAATGTGGGGTGGTGTAATAGGCTTACGGTCACATTACATTGAAACACCGGTTCCATTACAATCAGTGAAGTTAAGCAACGTCGAGCCTTGTCTGTACCTAGATGGGTGACGACCGCTTGGGAATACTAATTACTGAATACTTAAATGTGGGGGTGGTGTAATAGCCTTACGGTCACATTACATTGAAACACCGGTTCCAGTACAACCAGTGAAGTTAAGCAACGTCGAGCCTTGTCTGTACCTAGATGGGTGACGACCGCTTGGAATACTAATTACTGAATAATTAAATGTGGGGGTGGTGTAATGAAGGGTTACGGTCACATTACATTGAAACACCGGTTCCGTACAATCAGTGAAGTTAAGCAACGTCGAGCCTTGTCTGTACCTAGATGGGTGACGACCGCTTGGGAATACTAATTACTGAATACTTAAATGTGGGGTGGTGTAATAGCCTTACGGTCACATTACATTGAAACACCGGTTCCCAGTACAATCAGTGAAGTTAAGCAACGTCGAGCCTTGTCTGTACCTAGATTGGTGACTACCGCTTGGGAATACTAATTACTGAATACTTAAATGTGGGGGTGGTGTAATAGCGTTACGGTCACATTACATTGAAACACCGGTTCCAGTACAATCAGTGAAGTTAAGCAACGTCGAGCCTTGTCTGTACATAGATGGGTGACGACCGCTTGGGAATACTAATTACTGAATGCTTAAATGTGGGGGTGGTGTAATAGCCTTACGGTCACATTACATTGAAACACCGGTTCCCGTACAATCAGTGAAGTTAAGCAACGTCGAGCCTTGTCTGTACATAGATGGGTGACGACCGCTTGGGAATACTAATTACTGAATACTTAAATGTGGGGGTGGTGTAATAGCCTTACGGTCACATTACATTGAAACACCGGTTCCCGTACAATCAGTGAAGTTAAGCAACGTCGAGCCTTGGCTCTGTACCTAGATGGGTGACGACCGCTTGGGAATACTAATTACTGAATACTTAAATGTGGGGTGGTGTAATAGCCTTACGGTCACATACATTGAAACACCGGTTTCCCGTAAAATCAGTGAAACAACGTCGAGCCTTGGCTGTACCTAGATGGGTGACGACCGCTTGGGAATACTAATTACTGAATACTTAAATGTGGGGTGGTGTAATAGCCTTACGGTCACATACATTGAAAAACACCGGTTCCCCATACAATCAGTGAAGTTAAGCAACGTCGAGCCTTGTCTGTACCTAGATGGGTGACGACCGCTTGGGAATACTAATTACTGAATAATTAAATGTGGGGGTGGTGTAATTTACGGTCACATTACATTGAAACACCGGTTCCAACCAATCAGTGAAGGCAACGTCGAGCCTTGTCTGTACCTAGATGGTGACGACCGCTTGGGAATACTAATTACTGAATACTTAAATGGGGGGTGGTGTAATAGCCTTACGGTCACATTACATTGAAACACCGGTTCCGTACAACCAGTGAAGTTAAACAACGTCGAGCCTTGTCTGTACCTAGATGGGTGACGACCGCTTGGGAATACTAATTACTGAATAATTAAATGTGGGGGTGGTGTAATAGGCTTAAGGTCACATTACATTGAAAACACCGGTTCCGTACAATCAGTGAAGTTAATCAACGTCGAGCCTTGTCTGTACCTAGATGGGTGACGACCGCTTGGGAATACTAATTACTGAATACTTAAATGTGGGGGTGGTGTAATAGCCTTTACGGTCACATTACATTGAAAACGCCGGTTCCCCGTACAATCAGTGAAGTTAAGCAACGTCGAGCCTTGGCTGTACCTAGATTGGTGACGACCGCTTGGGAATACTAATTACTGAATACTTAAATGTGGGGGTGATGTAATAGCCTTACGGTCACATTACATTGAAACGCCGGTTCCGTACAATCAGTGAAGTTAAGCAACGTCGAGCCTTGGCTGTACATAGATGGGTGACGACCGCTTGGGAATACTAATTACTGAATACTTAAATGTGGGGGTGGTGTAATAGCCTTTACGGTCACATTACATTGAAACACCGGTTCCCGTACAATCAGTGAAGTTAAGCAACGTCGAGCCTTGGCTGTACCTAGATGGGTGACGACCGCTTGGGAATACTAATTACTGAATATTTAAATGTGGGGGTGGTGTAATAGCCTTACGGTCACATTACATTGAAACACCGGTTCCCGTACAATCAGTGAAGTTAAGCAACGTCGAGCCTTGGCTGTACCTAGATGGGTGACCTAATTACTTAATAATTAAATGATGGTGAATAGACCACATTACATTGAAACGCCGGTTCCCCGCAATAATCAGTGAATAAGCAACGTCAATTATGGGTGACGACCAGGTTGGGAAATACTAATTACTGAATACTTAAATGTGGGGTGGTGTAATAGCCTTACGGTCACATTACATTGAAACGCCGGTTCCCCGTACAATCAGTGAAGTTAAGCAACGTCGAGCCTTGTCTGTACCCTAGATGGGTGACGACCGCTTGGGAATACTAATTACTGAATACTTAAATGTGGGGTGGTGTAATAGCCTTACGGTCACATTACATTGAAACACCGGTTCCTGCACAATCAGTGAAGTTAAGCAACGTCAAGCCTTGGCTGTACCCTAGATGGGTGACGACCGCTTCCCACTGAATACTTAAATGTGGGGGTGTAATAGCCTTACGGTCACATTACATTGAAACACCGGTTCCGTACAATCAGTGAAGGTAAGCAACGTCGAGCCTTGTCTGTACCTAGATGGGTGACGACCGCTTGGGAATACTAATTACTGAATACTTAAATGTGGGGGTGGTGTAATAGCCTTACGGTCACATTACATTGAAACACTGGTTCCCGTACAATCAGTGAAGTTAAGGGTCGAGCCTTTTCTGTACCTAGATGGTGACGACCGCTTGGGAATACTAATTACTGAATACTTAAATGTTGGGGTGTGGAATAGCCTTACGGTCACATTACATTGAAACACCGGTTCCCGTACAATCAGTGAAGGATGGGTGACGACCGCTTTGGGGAAATACTAATTAAATACTTAAATGTTGGGGTGGTGTAATAGCCTCACGGTCACATTACATTGAAACGCCGGTTCCCCGTACAATCAGTGAAGTTAAGCAACGTCGAGCCTTGGCTGTACCTAGATGGGTGACGACCGCTTGGGAATACTAATTACTGAATACTTAAAATGTGGGGTGTGTAATACACGCCTTACGGTCACATTACATTGAAACACCTTAAATGGTTCCCGTACAATCAGTGAAGTTAAGCAACGTCGAGCCTTTTCTGTACCTAGATGGGTGACGACCGCTTGGGGAATACTAATTACTGAATAATTAAATGGAATACTACGGTCATTACTGAAACACCGGTTCCCTGTACAACCAGTAAATGTCGGGATGGGTGACGACCGCTTGGGAATACTAATTACTGAATACTTAAATGGGGTGGTCAATAGCCTTACGGTCACATTACATTGAAACACCGGTTCCAGTACAACCAGTGAAGTTAAGCAACGTCGAGCCTTGTCTGTACCTAGATGGGTGACGACCGCTTGGGAATACTAATTACTGAATAATTAAATGTGGGGGTGGTGTAATAGGCTTACGGTCACATTACATTGAAACACCGGTTCCGTACAATCAGTGAAGTTAAGCAACGTCGAGCCTTGTCTGTACCTAGATGGGTGACGACCGCTTGGGAATACTAATTACTGAATACTTAAATGTGGGGGTGGTGTAATAGCCTTACGGTCACATTACATTGAAACACCGGTTCCAGTACAACCAGTGAAGTTAAGCAACGTCGAGCCTTGTCTGTACCTAGATGGGTGACGACCGCTTGGGAATACTAATTACTGAATAATTAAATGTGGGGGTGGTGTAATAGGCTTACGGTCACATTACATTGAAACACCGGTTCCGTACAATCAGTGAAGTTAAGCAACGTCGAGCCTTGTCTGTACCTAGATGGGTGACGACCGCTTGGGAATACTAATTACTGAATACTTAAATGGGGGTGGTGTAATAGCCTTACGGTCACATTACATTGAAAACACCGGTTCCCGTACAATCAGTGAAGTTAAGCAACGTCGAGCCTTGGCTGTACCTAGATGGGTGACGACCGCTTGGGAATACTAATTACTGAATACTTAAATGTGGGGTGGTGTAATAGCCTTACGGTCACATTACATTGAAACGCCGGTTCCCGTACAATCAGTGAAGTTAAGCAACGTCGAGCCTTGGCTGTACCTAGATGGGTGACGACCGCTTGGGAATACTAATTACTGAATACTTAAATGTGGGGGAAACACTGTGGTGTAATAGCCTTTACGGTCACATTACATTGAAACACCGGTTCCCCGTACAATCAGTGAAGTTAAAGCAACGTCGAGCCTTGTCTGTACCTAGATGGGTGACGACCGCTTGGGAATACTAATTACTGAATATTTAAATGTGGGGGTGGTGTAATAGCCTTACGGTCACATTACATTGAAACACCGGTTCCGTACAATCATTGAAGTTAAGCAACGTCGAGCCTTGTCTGTACCCTTAGATGGGTGACGACCGCTTGGGAATACTAATTACTGAATACTTAAATGTGGGTGGTGTAATAGCCTTACGGTCACATTACATTGAAACACCGGTTCCGTACAACCAGTGAAGTTAAAACAACGTCGAGCCTTGTCTGTACCTAGATGGGTGACGACCGCTTGGGAATACTAATTACTGAATACTTAAATGGGGGGTGGTGTAATAGGACTTACGGTCACATTACATTGAAACACCGGTTCCCGTACAATCAGTGAAGTTAAAGCAACGTCGAGCCTTGTCTGTACCTAGATGGGTGACGACCGCTTGGGAATACTAATTACTGAATACTTAAATGTGGGGGTGGTGTAATAGCCTTACGGTCACATTACATTGAAACACCGGTTCCCGTACAATCAGTGAAGTTAAGCAACGTCGAGCCTTGTCTGTACCTAGATGGGTGACGACCGCTTGGGAATACTAATTACTGAATACTTAAATGTGGGGTGGTGTAATAGCCTTTACGGTCATATTACATTGAAAACACCGGTTCCGTACAACCAGTGAAGTTAAGCAACGTCGAGCCTTGTCTTTACCTAGATGGGTGACGACCGCTTGGGAATACTAATTACTGAATACTTAAATGTGGGGGTGGTGTAATAGCCTTACGGTCACATTACATTGAAACACCGGTTCCCGTACAATCAGTGAAGTTAAGCAACGTCGAGCCTTGTCTGTACCTAGATGGGTGACGACCGCTTGGGAATACTAATTACTGAATACTTAAATGTGGGGGTGGTGTAATAGCCTTACGGTCACATTACATTGAAACACCGGTTCCCGTACAATCAGTGAAGTTAAGCAACGTCGAGCCTTTGTCTGTACCTAGATGGGTGACGACCGCTTGGGAATACTAATTACTGAATACTTAAATGGGGGTGGTGTAATAGCCTTTACGGTCACATTACATTGAAACACCGGTTCCCGTACAACCAGTGAAGTTAAGCAACGTCGAGCCTTGTCTGTACCTAGATGGGTGACGACCGCTTGGGAATACTAATTACTGAATACTTAAATGTGGGGGTGGTGTAATAGCCTTACGGTCACATTACATTGAAACACCGGTTCCCGTACAACCAGTGAAGTTAAAGCAACGTCGAGCCTTGTCTGTACCTAGATGGGTGACGACCGCTTGGGAATACTAATTACTGAATACTTAAATGTGGGGGTGGTGTAATAGCCTTTACGGTCACATTACATTGAAACACCGGTTCCCCGTACAAACCAGTGAAGTTAAGCAACGTCGAGCCTTGTCTGTACCCTTAGATGGGTGACGACCGCTTGGGAATACTAATTACTGAATACTTAAATGTGGGGGGTGGTGTAAAGGCCTTTACGGTCACATTACATTGAAACACCGGTTCCCGCACAACCAGTGAAGTTAAGCAACGTCGAGCCTTGTCTGTACCTAGATGGGTGACGACCGCTTGGGAATACTAATTACTGAATACTTAAATGTGGGGGTGGTGTAATAGCCTTACGGTCACATTACATTGAAACACCGGTTCCAGTACAACCAGTGAAGTTAAGCAACGTCGAGCCTTGTCTGTACCGCTTGGGAATGGGTGACGACCGCTTGGGAATACTAATTACTGAAATACTTAAATGTGGGGTGGTGTAATAGCCTTACGGTCACATTACATTGAAACACCGGTTCCCCGTACAATCAGTGAAGTTAAACAACGTCGAGCCTTGTCTGTACCTAGATGGGTGACGACCGCTTGGGAAATACTAATTACTGAATACTTAAATGTGGGGGTGGTGTAATAGCCTTACGGTCACATTACATTGAAACACCGGTTCCCTACAAACAGTGAAGTTAAGCAACGTCGAGCCTTGTCTGTACCTAGATGGGTGACGACCGCTTGGGAATACAATTACTGAATACTTAAATGTGGGGGTGGTAATAGCCTTACGGTCACATTACATTGAAACACCGGTTCCCCGTACAAACAGTGAAGTTAAGCAACGTCGAGCCTTGTCTTTACCTAGATGGGTGACGACCGCTTGGGAATACTAATTACTGAATACTTAAATGGGGGGGATAAAGTAATAGCCTTACGGTCACATTACATTGAAACACCGGTTCCCATACAATAAGTGAAGTTAATCAACGTCGAGCCTTGTCTGTACCTAGATGGGTGACGACCGCTTGGGAATACTAATTACTGAATACTTAAATGTGGGGGTGGTGTAATAGCCTTACGGTCACATTACATTGAAACACCGGTTCCCGTACAATCAGTGAAGTTAAGCAACGTCGAGCCTTGTCTGTACCTAGATGGGTGACGACCGCTTGGGAATACTAATTACTGAATACTTAAATGTGGGGGTGGTGTAATAGCCTTACGGTCACATTACATTGAAACACCGGTTCCCGTACAACCAGTGAAGTTCAGCAACGTCGAGCCTTGTCTGTACCTAGATGGGTGATTTACCGCTTGGGAATACTAATTACTGAATACTTAAATGTGGGTGGTGTAATAGCCTTACGGTCACATTACATTGAAACACCGGTTCCCGTACAACCAGTGAAGTTAAACGTCGAGCCTTGTCTGTACCTAGATGGGTGACGACCGCTTGGGAATACTAATTACTGAATACTTAAATGTGGGGGTGGTGTAATAGCCTTTACGGTCACATTACATTGAAACACCGGTTACAACCAGTGAAGTTAACAACGTGAGCCTTGTCGGTAGATGGGTGACAGACCGCTTTGGGAATACTAATTACTGAATACTTAATGCAGGGGTGGTAATAGTCGGTCACATTACATTGAAACACCGGTTAATCAGTGAACGTCGAGCCTTGTCTGTACCTAGATGGGTGACGACCAAGCTTGGGAATACCAATTACTGAATACTTAAATGTCGGGTGGTTTATCATTACATTGAAACACCGGTTTCAGTACATTCAGTGAAGCCTAGATGGGGTGACGACCGCTTGGGAATACTAATTACTGAATACTTAAATGTGGGGTGGTGTAATAGCCTTTACGGTCACATTACATTGAAACACCGGTTCCCCGTACAACCAGTGAAGTTAAGCAACGTCGAGCCTTGTCTGTACCTAGATGGGTGACGACCGCTTGGGAATACTAATTACTGAATACTTAAATGTTTGGGTGCTGTAATAGCCTTACCGTCACATTACATTGAAACGCCGGTTCCAGTACAACCAGTGAAGTTAAGCAACGTCGAGCCTTGTCTGTACCTAGATGGGTGACGACTGCTTGGGAATACTAATTACTGAATACTTAAATGTGGGGGTGGTGTAATAGCCTTACGGTCACATTACAGTGAAACACCGGTTCCAGTACAAGCAGTGAAGTTAAGCAACGTCGAGCCTTGTCTGTACCTAGATGGGTGACGACCGCTTGGGAATACTAATTACTGAATACTTAAATGTGGGGGTGGTGTAATAGCCTTACGGTCACATTACATTGAAACACCGGTTCCCGTACAACCAGTGAAGTTAAGCAACGTCGAGCCTTGTCTGTACCTAGATGGGTGACGACCGCTTGGGGAATACTAATTACTGAATACTTAAATGTGGGGGTGGTGTAATAGCCTTTACGGTCACATTACATTGAAACACCGGTTCCCGTACAACCAGTGAAGTTAAGCAACGTCGAGCCTTGTCTGTACCTAGATGGGTGACGACCGCTTGGGAATACTAATTACTGAATACTTAAATGTGGGGGTGGTGTAATAGCGATACGGTCACATTACATTGAAACACCGGTTCCTGTACAACCAGTGAAGTTAAGCAACGTCGAGCCTTGTCTGTACCTAGATGGGTGACGACCGCTTGGGAATACTAATTACTGAATACTTAAATGTGGGGGTGGTGTAATAGCCTTACGGTCACATTACATTGAAACACCGGTTCCCCCGTACAATCAGTGAAGTTAAGCAACGTCGAGCCTTGTCTGTACCTAGATGGGTGACGACCGCTTGGGAATACTAATTACTGAATACTTAAATGTGGGGGTGGTGTAATAGCCTTACGGTCACATTACATTGAAACACCGGTTCCCATACATTCAGTGAAGTTAAGCAACGTCGAGCCTTGTCTGTACCTAGATGGGTGACGACCGCTTGGGAATACTAATTACTGAATACTTAAATGTGGGGGTGGTGTAATAGCCTTACGGTCACATTACATTGAAACACCGGTTCCAGTACAACCAGTGAAGTTAAGCAACGTCGAGCCTTGTCTGTACCTAGATGGGTGACGACCGCTTGGGAATACTAATTACTGAATACTTAAATGTGGGGTGGTGTAATAGCCTTACGGTCACATTACATTGAAACACCGGTTTCCAGTACAACCAGTGAAGTTAAGCAACGTCGAGCCTTGTCTGTACCTAGATGGGTGACGACCGCTTGGGAATACTAATTACTGAATACTTAAATGTGGGGGGTGGTGTAATAGCCTTTACGGTCACATTACATTGAAACACCGGTTCCCGTACAACCAGTGAAGTTAAGCAACGTCGAGCCTTGTCTGTACCTAGATGGGTGACGACCGCTTGGGAATACTAATTACTGA